AAAAGAAAAAAAAAAAAAAAAGAGGAATGCAAAGGAGATAAAGCTAGGAAAAAAAACCCAACCAAAGGTGGGAGAAAACAAGGTCAATCTCCCAGTTGTGGACTATGTCCTGCTGTTGACCTTCTGATATGCTCAGCAAGAAGACAAATAAGCAAAATAAATACTTTGTGTTATCTTTTACCAGATAAAACTGAAGGAGATATTTGAGACTCCTACAGAAATCAGTCTTGTTCTGGAATTGGTCACAGGTGGAGAACTCTTTGACCGGTAAGTTACCTGTATGCACCTCACTTGTACCTTCCCGAAGGATGCTATAGCCCAGATTTTTTCTCTGTATGTAATCCCTGTGTTAGTAATTACTAGAATTATTTCATCAGCATATGGTTTATTCACATGAATAATTATTTGCAGGAAATAGATTAAAAATGTATTTGGAAATGTAATTAGTAGGAGACTTCTGGGAAATGATATATGATTTGAAAATGGAGGAAGTAGTCAGTAAATATTGAAGAAAGTTACTCAGCAGGTATATGTAGCACCAAGTGTGCTAGAGTAGACAAAAGTCAGGAAAAACTGGAAAAATCTCATTGACAGGTCATCACAAAACATGTCAAGTGGTAATCAGTCTGCCAGGAGTGTTATGTCAAATAAAAATTTGTTAAGTAGGCTAACAAAAAAGAAAATATCTTTGATATTCATTGTGTTTATAAAACCTCTGTTTTTGCTACAAAGGTTCAGCAAGATGGCCGTTGAATTCTAAAGGTTTTGCTCAAAGTGAAATGAATCTGCAATAGTGTTGCAGTCATATTTTACTGGTAGGAATTTGGTTTTTTACAGCAAGAGTTGACATGAAAAGCCTTTGATACTGGTTGAGTAAATGAATCAACTTACTGGTATTGGTAATTTCCATCTCATGTAAGGACAGGTTATTTGATTTCCCTTCTTCGGTAATTAAAATTTCATATTTTACAGGATTATTATAAAAATGTACATCAAAGATTCAGTCTGAATGTATCTTTGACTTGGAAAACCAAAAGCATACTTTTTTTTGGTACCACAGTTATAGCTTAGTCCTTGTAAAGAACTATTTTTGAGCAGCAACAACAAAAGCAACTCCTCCTGTGACATCTTTAGTTCAACAGAAGGAAGTACATACTCTCTCAACACTCAGCCAAAGCAATGAGATGTGCTGAAAGCTACACAAACAGTGAGGGCCCAGTCCTGAGCTGGAGAGGTCCCTGGTCAAGATGCCTTACCTTTCACGTAACACTTTATATATCTGTGTGGGTTTAGGTTAGGTGGTTTTCAGAAAGGCTGGATACTCTACAGAAGTCTTTGGTGAGAAGATTTTGCAAATGGAAAACACAAATATGTCAATGAAATGGCTGGATCCTGAGCAGCAACCTGAGCAGTGTGGTAGAATAACTGAAGATAAGACACTTCATAGGATCCAGGATGCAGAACTGTATTATTTAATGATACCAGGATTTAATATTATGTCGTTTTCAACATTCTATAATCAATACTCAGCAGTGATTGTGGGATTGCATGCTTAATCCAGTGGTTTGGATAGGACGAGCAGTCTGGCGTTGTCTGATGAGAAATCGTTTAGTCACTTAGCAGAATTGTGGTGCCCCCTTGTGATGCTATGAATGAGCACCAATACTACGGACCTCCGGGTCTTCTGAACTCAGCATCCTCCTTTACTCTATGTTCAGCAGAACTGGGATCTTTGTCAATACAGTCCTCTGATCTGTGATTTTATTAAAAAAATTAACAAAACAAGAAACAATGAAAAGTTATTTTCAGCTCTTAAGCTAACAATGGGCGTATTACTTCACTCTTCAACCTTAAACCAAAACAACAGAAATAAGCAGCCAAGGTGTTTTGTGCCTATCACTCCAATTAAATATTAACTGCCTCTTTCCCCTCTCTCAGATGGGCTGAAGGATTAACACTTGCATGGTGCTGTACAATGGCTGCCCTCTGAGTTTTAGTGAGGATGCATTTAGCTTTGTGACTTAGGGCAGATTCCCCTCTCATGCTTAATCTTTTCAATCCATGCATCTTTTTATCATGCTTAAAGGAAATGTCCTGAGTGATAGAAAGGCCATATGCACTATTTTTTCTGTACTTGAGTGGCTCCTGTTCCAGAGGAAAGAAAAATTAACCTGGAATATCTCATGCTGGACAGTGAAGTTGTGCCAGATGTGAAGGGAGAGCTGTGACCATGTCTTGAGATCCACCCTGTGGTTGTCCTCAAGACAGGACCCTCTACAGAGAATGTGTGGGCAAGCAGGACCCTGATGTGGCCAGGGACCAGCCCCATGGCTTGGAGTACCTTACATGCTTGGTGCACAGCTATATGACTTCATAAACCACTGTCCATACACAGACAGAAAAGCAGCTTTCACACTCTGGAGGTGTTACTCTCATGCCTCTTTCAAATCAGCTGTCAGCGAATGATACAGTGTTCAAGCCAGGTTAGATACAGCCTTCAGCAAGCTGGTGTAGTGGGGCATGTCCCTGGCCAGGGCAGGGGAGGTTGGGACTATATGGTCTCTAATGTCTATTCCAACCTCTTAACATACTATGAAAATATACTATAAAATTGTGATATGACTAGGTCTAGTACGCAAACACTGCTGCTCTCCTTGCTGTAAAAATCTTCACTGCTGTTCCTGTTAATTCTTGCAATATGCTGGTGCTTTTTATACCAAGTGCTTTATTGCTCTACTTTTCTGCCATCCCAGATGTCCATTTTTCTTTTGAATAGTATTTGAGTGAGTTCTTTCATGTAAACATCCCCTTTATCATGAAGATGGTTTTATAAATACTCAAGATCCGATTAATTTTCTAGAATCATATTAGCACTGTTGATGTGCTGCTGGTTTCATGCCACTCTAACGCAGAAGTTCTGGGTAATGAAATTATTCACTTCCTTCACCATATTTATAGTTTCTTTCAAATCATCCATGTCATTGTTAAAATGAACTTTAATTCTGACAATTTTTCAGTTGTGCTATCCAAAAAGAGATAAATTTGAAAGTATCATTTACACATCTGAGTTAATAAAGCTGAAATCAGATTGGTTTAGTTTGTATTTTTAAAAAGAAAAATGTTTCCCAGACTTCCTAAATCACATTTTAGGTCATACGCTGACATACACCCAAACACAGTAACTATACACTAATAGACACTGAACTGAAGATGTTTATGTAAATTAGAATATTTATTGCTGGTTTACAGGACAGGTTTTGCCAACCCAGTAAATGAGGAGTACCAAAGAGCTTTTGAAGTATGACAGGTCAGTGGATAAATTGACTAAGACAGAGAAAACTGCAGCAGGCCTACATTAACTGATACGAAGTTCTTTACAGGTGCTGTGTCATCAGCCTAATGTATGACACATATGCCTGACATTTGCTTGGCCTTCCTTTTTTGTTCCTGCATGTTTAAAAAAGACATGTATGGTTGAAGTGCATTTAAATTGGCAGCATTTTGACAGAGTCCCAGGGAACAACCCACTGGTAAGGCTCCAAGTGTCCCAGCAGCCATGTGCCCAGTAGCATGCAGTCATGTTTCTCATGCTGCCACAATACTGAGGTCAGACTGCCATCACAACCCTCCTTACCAGGCTAGGGGCTAGGAGAAAAACAAAAATCACAAATCAGCACAACTATTCAACAGCACACTCTAATATTGAATGGACTGTGTTTCCACTACTCTTCTTATACATTGGTTCAGTTGTACTTTTCTCTTGCTTCTTTCGTCTTCTGGCCCTCATGATTATTTACTTAAATGTAATTTTTTGGTACAATTAACTTTGTCCTTCTTTTCTATAGCATGGTGTAATTCATCAGATTCTTGGTCACTTTGTTGATCTGGCTTTGTTTCAAACAATTAACATCTGTATGGTTACAAGCAATAATAGGTTTTGCAGAACAATAAAGTCTGATATCTGTCTTTTGTGGGCTAAATTTTGTTGGTCTTTTCCATTCAGATTTTATTCATAGCTGTTGCCTTTCAGCTGAATCACATTTTCAAATATGAATTACAGCAGAAATCATCAGCTCTACTCTAATTTCATTTTAGTCAGAATACCTGCTGTTTGCTAAAAATAATTTTGTTAGATAGGGTTTTTTTCTTCTTCAAATAATAATGTCAATCCATACATTCTTCTTGTCTGTACTTTGGCATCTTGACCACAAGCTCTTCTATATCTTCTTTCATCTTATTAAGTGCAGCAAACAATGTCTAAAAATAGTTCTTGCAGCTGAGAGCCTTTTGACTCACTTCCATTTCAAATTTCATATAATTTCCTCTGAAACATAGGTTCAAGATGATATTCTCTTCTTTTATGGAGCATACATTAGCAAAAATATTAGTTGTTCTAAAGAACTTGCCTTTTTAAAAGAAGTAGGAACTATTGTCTCTTATGGCCAAAGTTTAGTAAGGCCTTCCCAGGCTTCTGGCATACCTATTTTTTTGTGCTTATGGAAATTAAAATGGCTAAGGGACATAAAAAATGTCATGGAATTAATCACTCACTAAAGTGGGGATCTTTTATAAACTAGTGTCAGAATCGCGTCTTTTATTTGTTTCAGTGCTCTGATCTTATTATGTGGTGGCAGCCTGTGTTCCGAACAGGGATCGAAGCAGTCCTTTGGACTCCCTGTTCTATATGTCCATATTACAGTCCCTTCACTCAGGACTGGCAAAAATTAAAAGAGGTCTGATTTGACTATACCAACTATGCCCTATTCTCTGAAATTGGAAGACAAGACACAAAATAGCTGTGGTAAATGTGTTCCTTGATGTCATAATAGCCCATTTAGTGTCCAATGTAAGACTCAGTAGCTTTTGGCAGGGCAGCTTCATTGGTGCCCTCACTGCTGCTATTCTCCCCTCACCCTGCCACTGCCTCTTTCATAAGCTTTCAGTGATCCTTCTCTTTGCCCCAGCTCAGTTGCTCACCAGAGAAGAGCTGTGAAATGCTGCAGTAATTCAGTTTGTTGCATTGCCTCACATTCAGTTACACAGAAAGTTTGGCTTGAGAGAAAAGCCTGTGCTGCTAGTTCATGAGCACTGTAGATTCACAACCTCTAGAAACAAAGACTATTATTTTTTAAAATGTCTTCTGAAATTCAGCTCCTGAAAGGTGAACTTGTCTAGTTCTGTGGGTGCTATAGAAATGCTGAGTTGGAAGGGAAAACAAACCCTAGTATGAGATATAAGCATCATAGAATTTTAGGAGTTGGAATGGA